GGCCTCAAACTCAAAGATGCCAGAGTACTGGGATTAAAGGTGTGCACAACCACTGCCCACCACAGATCTAATTTTCAAAGATGGGGCTTCTGTCACTCAGGACCTGTTGGCTGTTTTCTCATGTGTGGAGTCCGGGCAGCACAGTCACGGACTGGGTCTGCAGACATGATGCTGTGTCCTTCCTGACATCTGTATGTCAAGACACACAACCTCCCCCCTGCTGAGGCTGCTTTTTTCTGATGTTTTTAAGATTTGGTTTGATGTTTAATCATGTGTCTATTTTCATGTCTCTGTGAGAGTTTGTGCACATGAGAGCAGTTCCGGAGGAGGCCAGAAGAGGGAGTCAGATCCCCTAAAACTAGAGTTACAGGTGGTTGTGAGCTGACCCACAGGGCTCACTGGAGCACCACCCACCACCCCCCACCTCCTCACCCCCTTCAGCCCACCCCCCCCCTGGTGTCCAACACATTTTCTTATTTGCTTCATCCCACAGGACATGTATCATACTTTCACAATCACGGCACATACCTACCACAAGACGAACAAGTACATATTCTAAACCCTGCCCCCAGTTTGTTTTGCCTCCGCCTGACTTTGCACTGTTTAAGGCTGCTCCTGAATTCTTCGAATGTGTTTTGTTTTGTCCATGCTTTTCAATGTGGTCCGATATTTGTGTGAAATACACTTGAGTTAATTTGCTTCTGTTTATATACAGTTCAGGGGTTTCTTTCCCCCCTCATCTTGTTTTAGTCTTATTCTTCAATGTGTAGGGCACTGGCATGCTTTTAAAAACCAAACCTATCACACAAAAAAATACCCGAGTGTCACACTCCCTCCAGAGTCTTTCCGACAAGTCATCAACGTTATTGTTCTCTGGTTTGCCCTTCCTGTGGCTCTGCGGTAGCAATAAGCAAACAGACTCCGGCTTTTCCTTATTATTATTTTTTTTTACATGAAAGATAACATGCTCTATATCCCCTCCTGCACTTGGAATGCCTTCATTTAAAATTACCCAGAAAGCATTCTTATCAGTTCTCAGACGTACCCCCACATTTTGAACAGTTTTTTGTTGTATAACTGCACACTACTCCAAAGTGGTATGTGCCACTTTCTGGGCAACATTGTTATGGATAATTTCATGCATACATATTTCCTATTGTGGGGAGTGTGTCTTCAGGGTAAAATCTCTAAGAGCTTGGTTTCTGGGTTGAAAGACAACGCACTTGCACTTTTGTTAGACGCTGTCAAATGCTCTGCCCTGTGGCTGTTCTGCTTTGCATTCTCACCCACCGGCAGTGTGGGAACTAACTCCTAACTCTCACCAAGAGATCATTGCCAAGCTTTTGAATTTTGCCTCTCTGGTAGCAGAGAGGTGATAAATAACTCAGCATGTAGACCTACAGATCATGTAGGCCTCCAACTCACAGAGATCCACCTGCCTCTGCCTCTGGAGTGCTGGGATCAAAGGTGTGTGCCACCATACCAATACGTTTATCTATTTTAAAATTTACTAAGTAGTGATGTTATTGTTGTTCACTTATTGGTTGGTTGGTTGGTTGGTTTTTGGTGGGTTTTTTTTGTGTTTTAGACAGCGTTTTACTATGTCATCTTGACTAGCCTGGAACTTGTCAAGCAGGCCAGTCTGGCCTTGGCATGCCATAATCCTGCTTGTACCTCTTGAGCGTGGGATTAAGGACAAATGCTAACATGTCTGGATTCCTCTTTGTAAAAGGTCTTAAAATCTTAGGAATATTGGCCTTTTATCTGTGATGTGTATTATAAAGATTATCTCCCAGCTTGTGATTTTTGGTTTTGTTTATAGTGATTTTTGCCATCCAAAAGTTTGGTTTGTTGATGCTGGTAGTTTTTTGTTCGTTTGTTTATGATATAGTTACATGGGTTGGTCACTCTTTTCATATCAAGTATCTGGATGTTGAGTTGTGATTTGAAATCCTTTCTTCACACTTGCATCAAAGAGGAATTTACCTATGGTTCTTTCTAGTATCTGTGTAATCTTACTTGATATCCACGTTTCTGCTTCCTTTAGAGTTCACTCTCTTATGTGCTATGGATATGATCTATGTTTGCTACACACCTATCTAGTTTATTCCAACAGGGCATATCAAAAAGATCCTCTTTGGAGCTGGGCGTTGTTGTCACATCTGTAATTGGCACTGGGGAGTCTGAGGCAGAAAGATCACTGCCAGCATAAGGCCAGCCTTGACTACATTGTGAGTTCTAGGCTAGCCTGGGCTGTATAGTGAGACCCTGTCTCAAAAAAAGGAAAAGAAAGAAGTCACCTTTATTCTCAAGATTACAGGTGTCACCTTCAGCATCCACTGGAGGCTTGTTAAGTGGCTCTGTCACTTCTTGACCCAGTCCATCCATTGGCCTATTTGTCTAGTCACACGGCGCTTGTGATCTCAGCTGCTTAGGAGTGTATCTGTCTATCAGGGCTGGTCCTACCTCAGAGCCCTTCCTTTTTAGCACTGTCCTAGCTAAGCTTGTGATCATCCCCACGTGAACTGAAACACATGCCATGTCTCCTTTTTCAGTCTCCTTCTTTCCTTCCTTCCTTCCTTCCTTCCTTCCTTCCTTCCTTTCTTCCTTCCTTCCCTCCTTCTTTCCTTCCTTCCTCCCTTCCTTCCCTCCTTCTTTCCTTCCTTCCTCCCTTCCTTCTTTCCTTCCTTCCTTCTTTCCTTTCTTCCTCCCTTCCTTCCTCCCTCCCTTCCTTCCTCCCTTCCTTCCTTCCCTCCTTCCTCCCTTCCTTCTTTCCTCCCTTCCTTCCTTCCTTCCTCCCTTCCTTCCTTCTTTCCTTCCTTCCTTCCCTTTCCCTCTTTCTTTCTTCTTTTCTTTTGTCGTTGTTGCTGTTTGGCTTTCATTCTTTTCTGTCTGCTGCTCGCTTGTTTACTGTTCTGGGGATTAAACGCCGGGCCTGATGTATCCTAGACAAGTCCTCTATAAATTAGTCACATCCCTAGCCTTGTCCTGGTCTTTAAAAATGGTCATGGGGCCAGGCATGGTGGTTCTCACCTTTAATCCCAGCACTCAGAAGGTTGAGGTAGTCATGTCATTGTGAGTGTGAGGCCACCCTGGTCTTCACAGTGAGTTCCAGGTCAAGCCAGGGCTACCGAGTGAGACCCTGTCTCAAACATTGAGACACACTAAGAACAAGGCAGGCACTTACTTCCTCTCTATTGATTTGATGTTCTCTCTTATTTGCCTGGATTCTTTAGGTCATTCACTAGAATAGTAAGTGTTGAGCAACTCTTCTCTCCGGTTGGCACCGCACTAGACATCATAGAAGTGAAACAGGTTTATCCTCAAACAACTTAGAGTATCATGGAAGAAACAGAATAAGCCACCTAAAGCAAACAGTCCAAGCTGCCATGTGAAGATGCTGCTGGTACTGAGCCCATCTCTAATCCCAGCACTTGGTGGGCTGAGGCAAGAGGCCTGAATGAAGGCAGCCTGGGCTACATAGGGAGGAGACACTGCTGTGAAAGAAGGAAAAGGGAATGGGGTGGGGAAGGGAGAGGGAGAGGGAGGGAAGGGAAGAAGGAAAAGGAAGGGGAAAAAAAGCAGGGAAGGGGGGAAGGAAAGAGGAAGGAGAAAAGAAAGGGAAGAAAAGAAAAGAAAAAAAAGGAAGGAAAATAAGAAAGCAATTTTGTGACCAGACCGGTATGCTACAGAAGCACAGAGAAAATGGAGAGTTAAGAGGGACTGGAATAACAGGGTCCTGAGACTAGAATCACTGGTCCTGAGCATCAGGACCTGGATGTCATGGGAAGGAGAAGAAGGGACCTCAGAGAGGTAGACTGAAGGTTGCACAGGGCAGGTCCCCATCCAGACCTTTGCAATCCTGGGATCCCTCACCTGAAGCTGAGTTAGGCCTCAGTGTCAAGGTGTGCCTAGTGAAGTTCTGATGGTGAACTTAGTACAATGACTCACACCTGTAATTTTGGCACTCAGAGGCTGAGGCTGGAGGATTGCCATGAGTTGAAGCCCAACCTTGGTTAGATAGTGAATTCCAGACCAGCTTTGGCTAAAGAGCAAGAGCCTGTCTCAAAGCAAAAACTGAAAATGCAAGTTGTGGTGGATACTCCAGTCGTCCTGGCACTTGGATAGAAGAAGGGGGTGGGGGGCAGGAGTTCAAGACCAGCCTCAGCTACATCTCAAGTGTGAGGCCCTGTTTCAAATAAAAAATAAAAATGAACCTGATAGTGAATGTCTCCTAGGTTTCCAGACCCCGGTCCTTTAGAATGATTAGAGTTAAAAGTCCAACAGCAGCTATTTACCATAGGAGGCTCTTCAGCCCTTATGGTGTAGACAGTACAGTTGAGTCATTACATTTCATTTTAATGGATTTAAATTTTAAGATAGCAGTGTGTTTTTCTACTAGGCCTAACTTGTCTGGGGCGGGGGAGAGGGGGTTCAGGTGTTCAGTCTGCTTTCACCCAGCATGGGGTAAAGAGTTCCTCATTGTATTGCTGTGTCTTCATTGCACTGTTTTGAGCAGGGATATTACAACATTTTAATGAGTATGCGGCTCACAACTGTGATTCTGCTCGACAGCAGTGTTTGGCACCACGGACCAGCCATCCCAAACCTTCAGAGTTATGTTCGAATGAGCTCCTGATCTTTTTTATGTACAAGACCTCAGGAGGTATCTGGGTTCTGAGAGGTACCCAATGTGCCCCTTCAGCCAACCTGGTCTTTCTGGGGTTGGGCGAGCAATGGGTGGGGCATCAGAGGGAGAGAACCCCGCCTACCACTGTGACATCACAGAGTAAAGTCATAGTAACCCACCTCTACCCAAGCCCCTGCCCTGACTAGGAGCATTCATCCTCTCCCAACTCACCGCATACCACCTGCCCCCCTCTGCTGGCAAGAGGGGACCTGGTGAATCCTCTACCTCGACACCCAAGTCACTGAGTAACTGAGTAACAACCATCAGAGAAGAAACTGAAACACCTCTGTTTCAGAACTACTACTGGTGAATGAGCAATCCCTCTCAGTTGACTCAAAATGTTTGTCTCACCCAGGAGGTAAGTACAAAGCTTTTGGAAATCTTGTGACTACTGATCAATTCATTTCACTATTTGAGCCCCATCTTTAGTGGCATGATACACACCTGGGGTTGGTGGGCCGGCGGAGGTGAGGGTGGGGGAAATGTAAGGTTACTGGGCAGTGGGCAAGTGTGTTCAAAAAGCCAAGATAACCTAAAAAAGAGGCATTCTTGAGACTGTGGGGCAGAACTCAAAGCTCTCAAGCCAGCAATGTAGACTCCGGGAAGCACCACCAGAAGAAGCCACAGAACTCACGATCAACTGGAGAGCCCTTTTTTGAACACGGTAGCAAAAACCAGTCAGAGTTTTGACATTTCCTTATCTTTTACCATTGGTTCTCTAGAGAGGGGGCAGCGAGGTTACCGGGGAATCTGTTTGCTAACATGGACCCAAGAGGTATAAAGTACAGAACACTTGAACCCTTGCCTCATTCTAGAGGTGGTTCCCCGATGTGGCTGCAATCCGTGACTTTTGTTAACGGTGCCTGCCTGCCCTTTGCTGGGTGGCACTTTAGTTTGAAAGGAGTCATCAGCCTTCTGATTGCAGGTTTGAATGCCCACTCCACCATGTCTACACTTGAGATCTGGCGCAAATCAGACTGAATTCGAGCCCTCACTTACACAATGGAGACACCGCCTCTGAGCCTGGCGGGGTTTGGGGGCCTAGGAAGCTGTTAGTGAAGTGTCTAGCCCCTAGTCTCATAGCTCGGATGGTTTTTCCTTAGATTCCACTTTCCTTCCGCCTTCTTAGATCGTCAGAGCAAACCTGTAGAGGACTCCCCACCTCCCCCTTGACCTCTTGGGGAAGCAGGTAGGTAACCACTAGACCTCAGATGCGTTGAGGGCTTCGTGTCCCTAGCCACACCTCTCAAGCATCTACAAAACGAGGCAGGCCTACTTTACCCCTCCAACAGAAAGGGTTCGGGGACCTGCATCGCTGGGGGATAGGGAAATGCTTGACTTTGTCGTACAGGGTGTGAGGAATTTACCCTAGGATCTAATCTCTTCCCTGGGCCGGTCCTCGCCTGCATCATGGGAGGCCAACGGGATACAGGGACCCACCCAAGGAAGAGAAAGAGGAAGAAACCTCGTGGTTCCCTGCCACACCCGTCCTGGAAGTCCCAAGTGCCCTCAGCACAAGGGCGGGGCCTCGCCAAACAATTCAAAACAGGCTTCTGGTGCGTCGCCGTGGCAACCACTCCCGCTGCTAGGCAACTGGGGCGCCGTAGTAAACGCTGCTGGCGTTACTCATTGAGCGAGGCATGGTGGGAATCTCATCCGGCTCAGGCACCACCGGGGCGCAGGGTGGAGATTAGGGGAGAGGGGGAAGGAAACGATGAGGCCGGAGAGGGGGCGCACGCTGAGGTGGAAAGGGGTGACCCTGCGCTGTCTGTTAACAGCCGCATCCCGGGCACCCCTCTTCCTCACTGGATCCTGCAGTCCCCTGGCAAGCCGGGGGACTGTCTGAGCAGTCACTCGCTCATGAGAGATTGCTCCACAGGAAATGCTGATGTGCCAGCGGCTTGGGACATGGAAGAAAAGCTGGGGCTTCCTCTCCTGGAAATGACGGCTATAGCAAAAGCCCTCTAATGATTCCATGACAGAGGAAAGGGAAAGGCTCGAGGAAGGCCCCAAGTCTTTTCCTTTGGCCATTCCCACTGAACATAAGAGAACTCCCAGTACTCGTGACCCTCCTTAGGAGTACTTGGGGTTGTGCGGACCCTATCAAGCTGGCACAGTTGAGAACGGGAGGTCTGGAGTTGAACACAACACGAACATTTGGAAGGTCATACATGCCCTCTGGGAGACTTTGATCTCATCAATGAAGTTCAATGTCCCACAGTCTTAATTAAACCTCGGAAGGCTCGAGCAAAGTCAAAATGATCCTAATGTGTAGGGAATCACCCCTCTTGAAAAGGTCAGAACATTTCCGACCTGTACCTCTTTGGAGTCATGTTTGTCCTCTGGCCAGAGTAAAGATAATACTGATAATGAGATCATTGCTATTTTCTATTTGCTATTTGCTCATGGAAAGCAGGGCTGTTCCCACAGGTGGGAGAAATTGTACTGACAGAAAACTCATCTGTGTGGAAAGGCCTCTGATATGCCCCCTGGCCCTCTGAGGGTCTTTTTGTGACTCCCCATTGCCATTGTGGGTGAATTGGGAAGAGAAGTATGTACTTGAAGCTATTTGGGCACGTGTCTGCGTTTATGTCTTTGCCCATCGCTTTCCCAACCGTGCCTTACAAAACTTGTGTTCATGGGTGTGAAGACCGCACTGGAGTCAGCAATGTGTAAAACATGGCCGATTATTACTGCCTTAGAATCGAATGAAAGGAGCAAACACATAAGGCCCGTGATGAGTTACTTGGAAGATGAGCTAGTCACAGGGAAGGTCAGGAAGTGGAGGCTCCGAAAGCAGAGCTCTCTGCCCATCAGCCAATGACAGCCAAAGCACTTTAACTCCACTCGGCGGCCTTTTGTTCGTTGAGTAATTAATGGGGCCATGGGTCAAGAATTCTGGCCCCTGGGAGGACAGAGAAACTCTCGCCAAGCGGGACAAACAAGATGTCTGAGTGGATGCCATGGGAGACAACAATGGGTCCTTAGCCCTAGGCTCCTGTGTTAGGGAAGAGATGAACACCTGTTCTTGCTCAGCATCTTCAATCACCTCTAATCTACAGCGTACTCGAAACCCAATAAATTAAATTTCTGCCTACAGAGTATGTGTGACCCAAGGCCATCACTTCCCTTTATGCATCTCTAGTAGGAAATGGTTTCACACCATGCAGTGAAGTGTGACTGAGGACCAGGGCTTGGCATTGTGATGTCACAAATAGCAAAGTACTTACATAGCCCCATGGAAGTCACCCCGGAGTCATTAACAGTCCCACTCACCAAGTTTAAATACTGTATTGAGATTCGGGATATCCATCTCTATACTGAGCTGTGGGCTTTTGAGGCAAGCCTAATTATTTTTGTTACATTGACCAGCAATTACCTCTTCTGTTCTGAGAGAGGAAAAGAAAGGGTGCGGGATAGCCAGCACGAATTACAATGAAAGGAAGTGAACGGGATGCTGGGTTCTGACTTTTTGTGGCAAGGCAGAGAAACTCATGCTTTTGTCAAGGAGAGGAAATTGGACACTGGGGCCCAAGGTCCTTGGGGAAAGGGAGCTAAGACTGGTCACATCCAGCAAGTAGCCAACCAGGAACCCACATAAACTGTACAACATAAGAATGGGCGGGTCAGAGCTGCTGCAGAGACCTACACTAATATTTTGAAAACCTTCTTTAAAGAAAATAATATAAAATTTTAACTTCAGATTGGGCAAGAGGTCCTTGAAAGCAGCACAAATAAGCAAGGGGCCCAGAAGGTGGAATTTCATTAGCTTCACTCTAAACCCACCTCTAGGCCTCCTCACCTGCCACTCCCAACCCCTTTTCCCTGAAGAAGGCAAACTTCAGGCTATTAAGGCTTCGGGGGTGCGGTTTATGAGCAGAGCAATAAAAACCAAAGACACGGTGCTGTGCCAAGCAGTGACTCAAGGCGGGATATGAGACGTGTCTCCAAGTATTTGAAGGGTGGAAGCTGAAAAAGAATTGGTCACTGTTCTAGGGTGGAGAGAGAATGAGGATACAATTAAGGAGAGAAAAATGTGCACAAAACTCATCAGGAAATGTTGGCTAAGTGTATTTTCTGATACTGCAATGTTGTGTTTCCCATGGGAGCCATTTGAGGCTCTGTTGAGTCACTGAGAACTGGAACTGGTCACCAAAAAATGTACTATAGGAAACAATCCTACGAAAGGCCCTCCCAGGAGTGGCCAGACGCCACAAAGTTCATTCTAAGTCCTGAATTCCATAAGGCTGACACACGGCAGTCTGTAGATTCAAATTTGGAGTGAAAGCCAAAAGAAGGAAAGTTTTAGAAGAGAGGTAGCCACCTCCACCCACTTTTTGCTGACTGGAAGGAAAGGGCAGAAAAGAAAACATAGGGGTGTAGCGCCACCCAGCGGCATGAGGAAGCCATGCAGCCAGGAAACCAGCCTATTCCACAGCAAAATGGGGCCACAAAATCCTTGTCCCCTTCTCCCAAAGGAGAGTGACTTGTGTAAAGGGTTGATAGGGTGATACATAAAACATATCCAAGGGCCAGCAAAATGGCTCAGCTGGGAGACAGGCTTTCCTCCAAGCCTGACAACCTGAGTTTGATTCCTGGAACCCACAAGATAGAAAAAGAGAATCAACTCCTCCCAGCAGTGTTTTCCATGCATGTGCCATGCCTCTGCCACACACACACACACACACACACACACACACACACACACACTAAAAGTAAAAAAAGAAGGTTGCAAGAGAGGCACAATGGAACAAAGGCAATAAGGAGAAAAACATTTTCAAAGAACAAATGATTTTTTATACTCAAATTCAAAGGGGGGGAGTGGTAGCACATGCCTTAATCCTAGCACTCCGGAGGCAGAGGCAAGTGGATCTTTGAGTTCAAGACCAGTCTGGTCTCTAAGTTCCAGGACAGCCAGGGCTACACAGAGAAACCCTGTCTGAAAGAAAGAAAGGAAGAAAGGAAGAAAGAAAGGAAGGAAGGAAGGAAGAGAAGAAAGAAGGAAGAAAGAGAAGAAAGAAAAAGTCAGAAGGGCATTCTGGGTAGAAAAAGAGTAGCTGCTACAAAATATCAATTTGTACAACTCTGAGGACAGAATAACTTGTGCTTCTAGTGACTGACTAGCAAGAAGATAATGATCCACCTCTTAATGTTTAGTTGGATTCATCATCATCATCACTATTATTATTGAAACTTGTTTTGGGAAAATAAGATGTGTATTCGTTTCTTGAGAGTTGCTGACCCTGGCTGGGGATAAGCTCCTGTCCCATGCCATCCCCATCCTCACAACACTCTCAGCACCACACGTGGAGAGAAGCAAGAGTTTATGAACTGGCTAGAAAGTGGAAACCACACACAGAACAAGCCTAAAGCTGCTTCCTCGGGGAGGCTGTGAAGTAATGACAGTGGATCTATAGATTTTGGGTATTGCTATCAAAATCAAAATCAAGCCCCATCCAGTCACACCACTTACCTAGTAAACAATGAGTAGAGGGGACATAAACCACCCTTTACCTTTTATAGAAAGTCCCCTCTGCAAATGCAGATCCGTGCTGCTTGGCACTGAATCCCAGGTCCCGATTGGCAAGTTCTCTGGCGTAATCTCCAAGAACAGCTGGGCTGTGATTGCACCGTCAACTATTAAATACCCATGTTCATTGCATAGCAGGATTTAATCAAGAGGCATGCCACAAACTATAAGCTAGGAGAGGAGAGGTGGGAGGCAAGGGAGGAGGGAGGGAACTCAGCTTCCCCTCTTGCTACATTGCACCAAAGATACTTGGGCAGATGACATCCTTCCACCCTTCCAGACAGGCTACAAGATGCTGACCATGGCCAAGGTAACCAGTTCCCCATTTGATTTCTCAGGAGAAACCTTTAGACCTCATCATCTGGCTGTCCTTATTATCAGACACTGGTGCTGTGGTTTTCTGTTAGTGTACATTGATGTGAGCATGGCTGCCATAGTGGCACCTACAGAGCTTCGACTCTGGCTCTTGTCTAGAAGGTAGAGTCACCTTGGGAAAGCATGTGTTAGCATATCCAAAAGCCAAGCTTTCGGGACACTGTCACTTTAGGGAAACTTGTGAAATGAGCATTCTTCTTCCAACTTGAGAAAGGCTTGTGACAAAAGATGTGGCATGGTGGTTGGTAATTCCTGAAAAGGCTCCCGAGTGAGCCGTCACTTTAACTACCTGGGGTCGAGGAAGCTCAGGATCATGCAAAGTCCTGGACATCGGGGCACACACCTGTAATTCCAGCACTTGAGAGGCAGAGGCAGGAGGATCTGCAGTGCAGGGTCAACCTGTAGGTGAATAGCTCTAGTCGGGTTGAGGTCACAAACTACATGAGACCCTGTCTCCACAAGCGGAGAAGGAAGAGGGTGGGAAGGAAGAGACTGGGCCCCTTTCGGTGGTGGCGGTTCTTTCAGGAAAGAGTCTCGAGTCAGCTCAAGTTAACAATCCTTTGTTTCTCAAATCGTTTCTTCCATAACTCACTTGTCATCATGGTTGAGGCCACAGGTGTGTACAAGCCTTAATAATCTTTTTTTTTTAATATCTGAATAACCTGGAGGAACATAATAGGTATATGCATAACTTGAAACGGGTTGAATATAAAGCCAAGATCTGTTCTTAACCAATTAAGGCTGAATAGCACTATTAAAACTGAACCCTGTGGTGAGAGATTTGGAACTGCCTAGGTCCTCAGTTTGGTCTTTTTATAGAATAATTAGTGAAGATGTTTTATCTGCAAGTTCATTTCCTGTTCAAGCAATGAATATCAGATAATTAGAAAGGACATCCACTATAGAGATCTCCACGTCAAATGTAATGCCATAGTTTTCACAGGAGCTAAGATACAGAACCAACCTACCCGACTTCCAATAGATGAATAAGAAAAATCTGCTGTGCGTACATAATGGGACTTTATTGATCTGTAAAGAAAAATCATGAAAATTTCAGGAAAGTAGATAAAGTGGAAAAATATACGAAGTGAAATAGGCCAAACCTTGGGGGGGAAACTTAAAAATAGCTTTTAAATTTTGAATATGTATATATGCACAGGAGTGTCATGGACAATAAAGGGGTCATGAGGAGGGGGAAAGATCTAGACAGAGAGAGGGGATGGGTGATGGAATGAAAAGGGCTCGTTGAGGGAGGGGCTGGTGGCAGTGAGCAGTGGGATAGGGGACCAAGTCCAAGAAGAAAGTGAAAATGCCACTGTGACACCTACTCTGTGATTGCTAATTAAAAAAAAAAAAACTGATGAGTAAAACAATCGGGAAGGGAAACTCACAGTACTGGAGTGAGGGTGAAAGCCAATAGCTTTAGGAACTAAAAAGAAGAGGCCATCTTTGAGCAGTGGAACAGCTCAGTGACAATAGACTTGTGGTGGCCAAGGTCCCTCCTGCTCCTAGATGGTGTGACTGATAAAACCTTTGCTCTCAGTCAGGGTCGCCCAGAGGCTGGCAAAGACTGGCATCTCTTGATAGAGTTAATCTGTTGAATGCAAAGCAAAACGAAACAAACAAACATACAAACAAAAAAACAAAAAACTGACTTGCAGATTCGTTTCCAGAAGCTATTCATCCTTCTGTTTTGTATTTTGGATATTTGTATAATGGCCACCTTCAAGTTTGTTACTGGCCCAGATAACCTATGTGTGTGGTATGCACTGAGTTCATCCCTGGAGATTCTGAAGAACAAAGGGCCAAGGTTGTAAGCTGTTAAATGTAGATTCTGCTAAGCTGGGGTAACAGGGAGGTGGTTATTGGGTCTGCATATTTGCCTCGGATGTTATTTCCATCTCTTAAGCTAAGCAGATTGAGGTCTGATTAATTCTGGTAGAAGAGATCCCATGAAAGCTCAAGATGGTTTGCCTTAGGAACCATCTGGAAGCTAAGCATGAGCTTCCTCTCTTTTCCCCAAGTACTAAAGAACCCCACGATGCTCAAGACTGGTCATGGTTATTTTCAATCCAAATCACATGATGAGGTTGACAAAGTCAACGTTGGTCTTTGTTTTTGAGACAGGATTTGATGTAGCCCAGGCTTCAAAGTCACTAAGTAGCTGGGAATTGTCTTCCTGCCTCCACCTCTCATGTGCTGGGACCACAACTTTGCACCACCACACTGGGGATCAAACCTGAGATTCACGCATGCTAAGCAAACACTCTCAAAATGAGCTACTAACAGTCTTTATCCTGAAGGCATCGAAACTTCCATCTGCTTCCCCTGGGGTGGTACAACTCGATAATATATACACACCATGGAGTTATAAAGAAAAAACTTATTATGTTGTTTACAGAAAAAAAGTGAAACTGGTGAGCAAGTTGGTAAGCGAAATGAGCCAGACTCAGAAAGGCAAATACTGCATGTCTCCTCTCATTTATATAAATACATATGCATAGGGATATGTGTATCTGTAGGGCATGAACATAGAAGGGGAGCCATGGGTGAAGGAGAGTAAGGAGAGGAGGACGTCAGAGAGGGTGAAGGGAGGCAAATGATGCATGCTTTCTCTTAAATACGGAACTCAGATTGAACGATGCATGTCACACATGGCATCAAAGCAGGAACAACAGGATTATTTAGGGAACAGGAAGGGACCAGCAGGAGAAAGAGAGGACGAGGAAGGGCTGGAGGGTGCAAATATAAGCAAAATAGTGATATACGTGTATGAAAATATTACCATAAACCCACTTTTTTAAAAACATGAACAAATAATTATAAAAGGTGCCTCGAAAAAGGCTGGCCAGCTCAGAGCATTTGCAGCGAGCCAGCCCTGTTCCCTTGCGGCCTCTGCCTGAGGATATATGCTGTAAGTGGGGTCCTGAGGAGGTTGTCCTCCCAGATGCACAAGCATAAATTCCATGGGGCTTGCCAGGCAGAAGCTCGCACGATGCTTGCAGGCCATCTAAAGCAGATAGGTACGATACCACCCTGCTCACATCCAGTTTACTCGATGTTAGTATCCCTCGTGATAATGCCTCTCCATCTGGTTTCACCTTCATCCCTCTGTAAACCTGTCCATAATCTATCTAGCCATTGCCTGCCTGTGGAAATTACTGCTGCTTCTGCAAGAGCCACATAGGGTTCAGAGTCAATGAACACACCATCACTATAATGCTTGCTCTTGGCCGCATTGCAGCTCAGCTTCCCCAGGACTCCTGGAGGAAGCACTCAAGTGGCCGGCTTTGGTACTCGGTGTTGAACGAAAGAGGACTGAATGGGGCCTGAGAGCATGCTCTCCAACTGTCTCCTCTTGTGTGTTGCAGATGGAACTCCAGAAGGATTCCCCTCTCCAGCGGACCTTCATATCTGCCATCCTCAACATGCTATCACTCGGCCTCTCAGCAACATCCCTGCTCAGCAGCGAATGGTTTGTGGGCACACAGAAGGTGCCCAAGCCCCTGTGCGGGCAAGGTCTGGCAGCCAAATGCTTTGACATGCCGATGTCCTTGGATGGGGTCGTCACCAACGCATCCGCCCCGGAGATGGTACAATACACCTGGGAGACTGGGGATGACCGGTTCTCCTTCCTTACCTTCCGCAGTGGCATGTGGCTATCCTGTGAGGAAACCATGGAAGAGCCAGGTAATTTCCTCACACCAGCTACACGGATTGGTCTGCTTTTTTTTTTTTTTAATTGCATTTTTATTTGGGCCATGCATGGGTGTGTATGGGGGCATGCACATACATGAGGAGGTCAGAGGGCAGTGTGCAGGGATCCATTCTCTCCCCAGGGGATCAACCTCAGCTAGTCAGGCTTGGCGAGCATGAACCTTTACCCACTGAGCCATCTCATTTGTTTGCCTTTAAAAGAATGTTCATTGAGCCATTATCTCAATAGCCCAGGCTGTCCTAGAACTCACTCTGGCTCTGGCTGATTTAGAAGTTGCCAAAATCTACCTGCCTTGGCTTCTTGAGTACTCATACTATGGATATAAGACACCCACGCCAGGCTAGGGCAGAGAATTTTTTGAGTCTTATACAGGCAAAGAAATTCCATTAGGCCTGAGGAGTCAGAGCAGCAGTGGGAAAGCCTACACCTTCCCAAACCCTGATGGGCCTCGTGCCCAAACCCCACTTTCTATTATCTCTATGGCCCCTTTTAACAAAGTCAGAAGTCCCTGAGGCTTTCAGCTCCTCCAGCTTCAGCAGACCTGGTTTAACGAAGCTTTGGGGCCTGTCACATTGGAATCATTAGAACCTTCACACTAGCCAGGCAGTGGTGGCGCACACCTTTAATCACAGTGCTCAGGAGGCAGAGGCAGGAGAACTCTCTGAGTTCGAGACCAGCCTGGTCTACAAGAGGTAGTTCTAGGACAGTGTCCAAAGCCACAGAGAAACCCCGTCTCGAAAAACCAAAATAAAGAAAAAAAAAAAAAAAAAAGAACCTTCATGCTAATGGGTTAGAGTTGCTGCTTAGAAAGAATCTTGGTTCTGCCCAGCTGACCTCAGATGAATTAACTTCATTTCGTAGGCCTTGGTTTTCCTGTTAGGTCAAAGGGGCTGAGGTAGGTCACCTCTAAAGCCTCTTTCCTTCCTGGCTAGGAATTAGTGTTTCAATTTAAAAAGTAAGGGGAAACTATAGTGGCGTACTCCTATAGAACCAACATTCCAGAGAGGCTGAGGCGGAAAGATGGAGAGCATCCTGGACTATCTGGTTAGACCATCTCAAAAAGCCAAGGGTTGGAGATGTAGTGCTGTGATTAGCATGTGTTAGCCCTGTTTTTGGTTCCCAGAATTTCAAAATGTACTAATGGAAGGAAGGAAGGAAGATAGATAGATAGATAGATAGATAGATAGATAGATAGATAGATAGATAGATTTATTTAGTATTCCTTAGATTAGAAAGGCACCAAAGAGATGCCTCCATCTCTTATTCCCGATTCAGAATATAAGTCAGTGGGGCCTGGGAAGAGACATGAGGGTGATGTATTTTCTAAAAGCTGAAATCATACCCAATTTTATTCTGAAATTTCTACAAAGTGAGCTAAGAGGAAAAGACACAAGAGAAATAAAGAAATGGAGGGATAAGAGAGGCAGGAGAGTGAGAAAGTTTGAGAACAGATACACGTATCTGTAGCCTTGTGTCACCTAACACTGGCAAAGTCACAGGACTGCAAAACAATTTAGAGCCATTTTGGTCCAGGTGCAAAGTTTGTTAGCATGGAGACAGGAGATTGGAACTCTGCCCTACAAAGATGCTCTCAGGAAAACATTGTCTTCATAATCAGAGATGAAGGCCAGAAAAACGAATCTTGGATGCCTCATTCATGGGTCCATTTTCTCCTGCTGTCAAAACAGGACACCAACTGAGCAAAATAGGATACCAGTACTTGTGTGCTCCTCAGGGGCTGAGTCAGAGCAAATGGAGCAGGGCTGGGTATGGGGTGGGAGGTCTCTATCCCCAGGAAGTCTTATGGCACTGACCCTTGTGTGTTTTAGGGGAGAAATGCCGAAGCTTCATTGAACTCACACCACCAGCCCAGAGAGGTGAGAAAGGACTACTGGAATTTGCCACGTTGCAAGGCTCATATCACCCCACTCTCCGATTTGGAAGGGAGTGGTTGATGGAGAAGGCCTCCCCTCTCCACCTCCCTTTGGGGCCAGTGACAAGTACGTGTTCAGTGACTGGAGACCTGGGGCCTTTCTGGATCTAAACTGCTTCGACCTCCTTCTGTCTCTGAGGCCCACAGGCTGATAGGAATCGCTCCTAAATAGACACTCAGATATATGCAAGATTGCAGCTCACAAAAAAAGTCACCAGCACCCAACCCAGACACGAGCTGAAGAGTTTGTGGCCTTCACCTCCCTTTTGTATTATTATTGGGGGAGGGATTGGCTTTGGCTTTTGTTCCCTTGAGAATGGGGTCTCTTTGTAGCTGGGCTAGCCTTGAGAAACCACTACAGGTAGAGGCCACCTTGTCCAAGTTTTTTGTCTTAGGTGTTTTTGTTTTTGTTTTTTCTTTTAATATGCCACGAGATATCTTGTCCAAGTTTGTTTAAATAAGAAGTGAGAGGTCGGGAGGATAAATACCCAAACCCCAATTAAAGAAAAAGACAAGAAAGAGGACTGGTTTGATAAAAATGGAGTGATCTGTTTGCCAACTAGGCTTAGCAGTCTTTACAGCCCGTCAAGTGGTGATACGTTGGTTCTTCATAGCCACCACTGGGTGCTGCTTTCAGCTTTGTCTCTCTCTCCTCCTGCTCCTCTGGGCCTCTGACTTCTGGTGGGCACTCGTGTCCACAGTGGTTACTAACTGCTGTCTGGGTGTGGTTCCTTTTCCCGGCTTCTTGCAGAAGTCCTCTGGTTCTCACTGGGTACCCAAATCGCCTACATCGGACTCCAATTCATCAGCTTCCTCCTGCTACTGACAGATCTGCTGCTTACCGGTAACCCTGGCTGTGGACTCAAGCTGAGCGCCTTTTCGGCCATCTCTTTAGTCCTGTCAGGTAAGTGACCTGAAGTGGCTCCTTGGTATTTTGTTGTTGTTGTTTTGCTTTTCCACAATCACCGTTAAACAAAATTGAAAGTAAAATAAGATTTTACACACACACACACACACACACACACACACACACACACACACAGAGTGAAGGTTAAAGGGTGGGAAGAAGTAAAAGTGAGCAATAGCCATGATAGACTTGACTCTGATTTTGCCACAGGGTAATTAATCATTGTAAAGATAGGCATGCAAGGAGACACCCCTCCCCTAGATTCATTTCCCAGGAAATGTGATGGCAAAGGAGTCATGGATGCCCTGACATAGACTGACCCAGATGCCAACAAATAGATGCCATGCAGCCTTCTCCAAGGCCTCTGCCTCTTGTTCCCTCTATAGGCCTTCTGGGGATGGTGGCCCACATGATGTATTCACAAGTCTTCCAGGCCACTGCCAACTTAGGTCCGGACGACTGGAGACCACACTCCTGGAATTATGGCTGGGCTTTCTAGTGAGTATTGCCCATCCCCTGAACCTTCACAACCCAACTCCAGCCACCACACACAGGATTTTCTACCCTCGGCTGGATGTACCTTTCCATGTCCTCCTCCATCAGTCCACCGCAGGGCAGACCAGAGGGGCATCTACTCTCTCCCTGCCCTCAGAGGGTACATAGAACATTCTTCTTGCTTGCTTTGAGGATGCAGCTGGAATAAGTTGCTTCTTCGTCTGACCTACAAACTGTCCTTGAATAACAAGGCTGGTTTTCTATGACTTGTGGGAACTATGCTATATGTTCCATATTTTATGATTTGAGGTATTATAGAAATGGACAATAACTATAATCTTGAAATTAGGGTTAAATTCCATCTGATTTCTTGATGGTCCCCAATGGAAATCTCTTGCACTCATTATATACTCCCTATTCCAAGAGTAACTTCTTACTAACTCCAGATTTTAGACTTAGTTCTACTGAACTGCCAGAAATAAAACTGCATGGCATCAGCTGTCATCACCTTCTTCAACCCATCCATGAGGACAGTGCTGGAGTTCCAAGTGTAAACAGATACAGGAAGAGCTTCCACCAATGCCAACCCATTGCCACGCACTTGACCACTGTTTGCCTCCCCATCCTAACCTTAAAACTCAGACTTCATCATTTTAAATTTCTTTGAGGGGGGGCGTATAAAAAAATCACAAGTAGCCCAAGCTAGCCTCTGTGTAGCCAAAGCTGGCCCTGAACTTGATTCTCCTGCTGCTTTTACTTCTCAAGTGCTGGGATTACAGGTGTACCACCTTCAACACATGCAAGCAGAACATCATTTGTTTAAGTCTCAAGTATTCTTTCCTTGGAAACCCTCCACCTTCAGGAGTTCTTTCTCTGGTGTTTTATTCTCTTCCTTTCTCCATGGAGGAACATTCTCTACTCACCGCAAAGCTGACAAGCCAGATTCACATAAACTGAGATACGTGCTGAGAGCATGGACAGCACAGAACACACACCACTGGCCTCACATGTCCACCCTATGGAGGCCTTTCCACACTGCCCATGTTGTCATGCTCCAGTACAGGCTTTGTCCATCCACGAGCCCTGTGTCAAGCATTGCTGGGTTCCCCAAACAGTCAGGCCTCCCTTTTTGCCCACTTTCAACCTTTCTTGGCATTTGAATGGTAGGGCTGGGTTGGTGAGATGACTCAGTGGGTAAAGCAACTGCCATGGAATCATAAGGACATGAGTTCAAATCCCTGGGACACGCATAGAAGCCATATACAATAGTACATGCATCTGTGATCCCAGCAGTGTGGAGAAATGGGAAGCAGAGACACAGAATTCTTGAAAGCTCATAGGCCAGTGAGCCTGTGCACCCAGTGTCGTCAATAGCAAAAGGGATAACTGCCTCAAACAAGAGGCTGTACAAAGACACAAGAGACATGCAGACAGACATTCAGACACAGAGAGATGCATACAGACACACATACAGATAGACAGACACAGAGACATACATACATACATACATACATACATACATACAGACGGACAGACAGACAGACAGACAGACACACACACACACACACACACACACACACACAGAAAACAGAATTTGGGGGCTCAGGCTGACATTCTCACCAGAATGATCACATGGAATCCATTGTCAGGGGCAACAAACAGGAATCTGCAGGACAGCCCTCACCTGGTTCTCACCAGCCTTTGGCCTCCAAGCACCCCCTCCTATCCTCACAAACCTGTTTCCAAGGTTTCACAGAAGGACAGGGCTGTTCAGGGGTTTGGGTTCCCAGATCGTTAGGAATGTGTTTGATGGAGTTCCCTGGGGTGCTTTTTTCTTTCTCAGATCCACCCAGCTTGTACTCACATCCAGGTTCCACTGTAAACTACCCCTTGCCAAGAACGACAGTTCTCCTAATAATCAAATTCCACTGGAGCAAAGTGTGATGCCTTCAGATCTGTAGTAAAATGTTTTCATGAGGCCAGGCATTAGTGGCACACGTCTTTAATCCCAGCACTCTGTGAGTTTGGAGGCCAGGCTGGTCTACAGAGAGTGAGTTCCAGGACAACCTCCAAAACTACAGAGAAACCCTGTCTCAACCCCCCGCCCAAAAAAAGTTTTCATGAATGACTCTCAAGTCTCATCTTGGGGGACAATTAAGAATGTTGAACAGAAGAGGGATGATGGCTCCAGAGTCAGGCAAAGTGCATGAAGGGAAGAAAAAACGGGTAGAAGGTGCATTAGATCATTCTCACCACATAGAAGAGAGCTGGAGGTCTGTGGGATCCAGATTTTACAGGGGTAAAAATACACACCATACGAGGCACAAAAGAGCATGTCAGTGACAACTGATGGAATTAAATGGATCGAACACCTCCTGTTTATTTTGACTCCAAAACTAAGGCAGATGAAGCCCTCTGGACTCAGTCCTTCACAGAAACATGGTAGAAGGCAACACACTCACATTCCTAAGTCCCCCCAAAACACAGTGCCTAGTCTGGCAGAACAGTTGGCACTTTTCTTTCCGTAAAGTCAGACTCTCACTGTCCCTTCTCTGTGTTTGCCTCTAGCATGGCCTGGGTTTCCTTCACCTGCTGCATGGCGTCAGCTGTCACCACCTTCAACACATACACAAGGATGATGCTGGAGTTCCAGTGCAGGCGCAGGAAGAGTTTCAACCCCAACCCCAGTCGCATTGACCACCACCACCGCTGTTTCCTTCCCCAGCTGGCATGTGCAGCCCAGGAAGGGGGACCTTTGACCAGCTGCCATCAGTGTCCCAACCATCCCATCCGCTCTGTCTCCGAAGGCATTGACCTCTACTCAGCTTTACAAGACAAGGAATTTCAGCAAGAGACCAGCCAGGAGCTAAAAGTGGCTGGGTCATCCATAGAAGAGCAGTGTTAGAAGTTAAGTGGGTTTGGGAAGCAGGCTAAACCCTACCATCTGTGTTTGCTTATTATCAACATCCGCTTAAAGCAAAAGTGTCTCTTGAGCCTGTGTTTAGAAGCTAAGAATAAGAGGACCTCCAGTCCTCTCCAGAAGGGCACTGCCCTGCCCCCTTTCCCTTGACACCCCTTTGCTCTACCCATCTCCCATCTCGTGTATCCAGAATCCTCGTCTCTTCACTGACTGCTTAAGGCCAGTTCTAGACTAAATGCAGATAAGGCAAGTTGAAATACAGTTCTACCTTTAAGGGTCTGATAAAGCTGTCTAGAAGAATCACAGGTGAGCAAATCGATGGTGGCTTACCTACTCGCACTGGGATTTTTCTGGAAGTCAAACACAGGAGTATAGAAACAACTGAAGGCATCTTGCATTCTTGCATGCTGGTGTCTTGGATGCTCACAGTAGCTAGTGCAGTATGATCAAATGGGCAGGTTAGGGAGCTGGCTTCTTCTCCAGAGAACTTGTGTTCAACTCCCAGCACCTAATGCAAGGCGGTAAGGCCAGTTCCAGGGGAATCTCACGCCCTCTCCCAGCCTCCACAGACACTGTATACACGGCACTCACACATACAGGCAGGCAAACCACCCAGATGAACAAAATAAATTTCAAAACAACTGGGTAAGGTGCTTGCTGCACAAAATTCACAGACTGAACTTGATTCCTGGGCCCTATGTGGTGGAAAACAAGACCCCAAAAGTTGTGTGACCCCCACACATACGCCACAGCGCACACAATAATAATAAAAATTAAAAAATAAAAACATGATTAAACATGCCCCCAGAAGCTGTTGAGAGGTAGTATGATATATGAAGCTTTATTTTTTAAAAATCTTTTTAAAAAAGATTTATTTGTTATGTACACAGTGTTCTGCCTGCATGTATGTCTGCAGACCAGATTTCACTACAGATGGTTGTGAGCCACCATGTGGTTGCTGGGAATTGAACTCAGGACCTTTGGAAGAGCAGGCAGTGCTCTTAACCACTGAGCCATCTCTCCAGCCCCTATATGAAGCTTACTATAGCCTATAGGATCAGGCTCAATTCTAGAATGGCCTCCCAAGTTCCCAGAGGAGACCCACACAGGGGCTTCTTCCGTGACTTGAGACTGAGGCAAGCCTTCCTCTCTGGATACCCACTTAGGCGTCTCAAACTGTCCCTACTGTATCCTCCACAAAGGATGCCATCCAGCTACTCACCTCTTTCCTCCAAGGGAAGTAAACCATGTTGGTTAGCAAGAAAGAGAAGACTACACACGTATATTCCTGTACACGGCATTTATTCGTTCTGTAACAGTTCACATTTTAAAAGGTGCACTCCGGCAACAGGCCCCCTGGCTCCTCAACACAGGCATGTGGACAGCGATTCACATTCCTGGGGCTAGTTGGTATCGCCACACGGTATATTTGGGGGTGGTAAGGATGCTCTGCGGGGGAGGGGGAGGTTGAGAGGAGGGAGGGAAGACCCCTGCATGATATACAGGCATTACTTCTAAGTGTAGTGGTCAGGCTGACTTTGGGTCATCCAGTATTGAGCAATTCCTGCTGTGGATATCTGGGCGAGTCGCTGCAAGGAGGAGGGAGTGCAGAGAGGCAGTTGACGGGAGGCCAGCACCCACATTGGCCAGATGAAGTCACCTCAACCATCAGCCACTTTTCTGTACCAGCTATAACAGGAAGTAAGCCTAGAGTTTCCATTGCATTTAGCAAGGAAGAGCTTTACACTTCTGGCAAGAAGTTAGGATGCTATTTACCAAAATACTAAGGAGCTTTAGTGATGCTGTCTTTGTGGCTTCCTCTTACCTGACCTCAATCAGCATAAACGGTCTCAGCCCCAAACAGTACAACCCAAACAGGTCTCCATTAAGCATCTTTGTGCCTTCCTCCTTCCTACACAGGCAGGCTTCTTAGAATATCAACACTGCAGAGAACACATTGTATCTGGGGGCTCAACCAGGCCACCACCTACTTGAGAGTTTGGTCTACTGTAATCTAGTCCTGAGAAGACTACAAACTATATTCAGCCCTTTTACTCATAGAAATTCAACCTACTAGAAATGAACCTAGAGTTATCTCCAGATAACTCATTGTTCCCTCTTCCCAAAGTCAACCTGGTCCCATACAACTTCCAAATATGCTTCCAGGGTCTTACTGGAGAGGTGCCAACAAGTCTGATGAGCCCAATCTGCAGGACGGACTGACTACACCAACCTCCTGTTACCCATAACACCTATTGTGGGCAATTCATAGCCCCTTAAATCTAGAATCTAGTTTTCTGGGATCTCTTTGTTAACACAAGCTAAAAGGATATGAGCCCAAGTGAGGAGAAAATCTGGTTTTCACTCAGGAAGAGAAGTACATTTTCATTGGCCACCATGGGAACACATGGCATATCAGACAATGATGTAGACACTTGGAAGATTCAAAATTAAAGAGAGGCCACACATTTACAAAGAAGGCAGAAGAATGGAGATAATTCTAAAGAACATGATTATATAAAGTTATAGTATTTACATGAGAATTTTTCTCAATATTATGCTTCAAAAGCTCTAGAAGGAAGGAGGAACACAGGGCAGAGTGGTTGCAAAGTCCAGAAACAGATTCCCTGAATAGAAGAGGAAGCAAGGGAGGAAGAGATGGAGATGGCCCAGAGAAGACTCAGAGCAAGCATAGTGGAGCTACAGCTAGGACAAGGCCATGGGGCTTACAACCTCGAAGCTGGCCACTGTGTACATGCAAACTCTTCTGCCATGGCTATAGAATCAAAGATCATAGCTGCAGAGCCATCACAGGGTCACAAAAGGTCCTGGTCAGAGGCTTCACAGAAACTCTGTCCCTGGCTCCCTTTGTGATAGAAACAAGTCTGTTCTCATGACCACTTAACAGAGGTGGAGAGCCGAGGAGACAGGAAGATAAACACACCGGATAACTGGTCCCATCATAACTTCCAGTGTTTCTCACTGCTGTCTAGAGTTGAGAAGGAACCAGAGTACAGACAGAAAACAGTGGTGAGTAGTGAGTGGTGAGTGACCCTCAGGATCTCAGAGGTAGGCCAGCCAGACACATGAAGATGACCAAATCAGACGAATGTCAAGAGGACAAGAAATGGAATCCCTGAAGCTTGGGGCATATCTCAAATAATTCTGTTACAACAACACTAGACGCACACACACACACACACACACACACACACACACACACACACACACACACACGGCCTAATGCAAAACAACATATGTCCTGCTTGTAGGCCACTGGATTTCCCAGCAAGGGTTTATAAATTAGAGGTAAAAAAAAAACAAAAAAAACCACTGTAAGATTCACATTTCCAAACTGTCCACAGAGTTCCCAGGAAAAGGGGTTAGTGCAGGAATGGGAAGGTTGCAAGAGGTCCCGCTAAGCAGATCATGCTGCATCACGCAGCTCCAACAGGCTGCCAAAGCACAGCCAGCGGTCCCCAAGTGCTGCGTGACCCTGAAGTCCTCTTCTCTCCAGAGAGCTGACACAGGAGGGACAGGAGCCGCTCTGTATGGTTCTTCTGAATCCGGGTTCCACTGCACTAGATCTGCTGGGGAAATGGTCATTGTTACCCCTGGTAAACGGGATTTCCAGAGAGATGGGAAATCTAAGCCATTTCACTTCCCAGGCCTCTATTTTAGCTCCAACAGTTCAGGAGCCCCGGGGACGTGTGTCCTTCTCGGTGATAAGCTCTTCAGCTCAGAACTTGGCCCAGGGATTTTTTAGGGAAAAACCCTGACATTTTCAGAAAGGTAACTGTGTGGTATTTAGGATGTTAACGCCATTGGTCCCTACCCAGAAAATGCCATTAAGATCTACTCCCTCAGTCATTGGGATGATTTAAAAACATGATCCCACACTTATAAATGTCTGAAAACCTGAGTTCAAACTCCAGGACCCACACAGGAAAATAACTTCTGCAGTTGTCCACCAATCTCTACACGTGTCAGGACCTGTGTGGGCTCACACACATAAATGTAATACGATTCTTTTCATGAGAAAGTAATTAACCAAATATCTCAGAAGCCAGTCACCTGGTAGGGAGGATCAACAAACTTGATCCTGGAGAGGAATCTTCGCAGCTCCCCACGGCCAGTTTTAGGAGTGGTCTCCTTCAGCTGGACCATCTGGCCTTCCATGAGCGCCCAGCGCAGGCTCAGCTTGCTGATCACCAGAGAAGTGGGGTGCCCATCAGGGCTCATCCCTGTTGTCCTGGTGACATAAAAGGCATCTTTCCAGATGTCATTGATTCCAACTGAGGAAGGACAATGACAAGCAGTTAGCAACAAGGGAGTGGCCAGCATGTGGTCCTCCACCTTGACTGACCTCCTGCTGCATCTTTAGAATAGGAGTTAACTGGTTGAAAGAGAGTGGGTTCTACTTTTCCCCCATACAAAGCTTTACCCATCATCAGGCTCCTTTAATACTGCTGCACTGTGAGCTTCAGCCAGTTTTCCTGGGGTAAATCGGTTTCAGCTCACTCTGACTCCTCTTTTCCTCTGTTGCTCCCCTCCTCTCCTCCTCTCTCCCTCTGCTCAGGGTTTTAGGAAACTGGGGCGCTTGACTCTGTAGGTCCTGTAGATGACCAGAGCCAAGTATTGGCCTAGCTAGATAATGAGCCTTTAACTGTCCTGCCTCTACCTCCCCAGTGCTGGATCAAGCCCAGGGCCTCCTGCATGCGAGGCAGACACTCCACCAACTGAGCTCCCGTGAGATTCTTATTTACCATTATTTAATGTTATTTAATGTTCCCCGAATAATGGTTATGCAAATGCTGCAAAAACAGCTCATTATATCTCTTACATGGTTCTGTAAACTGACACTCCCCATTCCCTCACCCCCCACTCCCCAAGCTGGTGACTGCCT